CACTACAGGAAAACGAGAACGTCTGAGCTCAAGGGATTTTAGCTGAATAGAGAATTTAACAAAACTCAGATTTAACGCAAGGGATTTTTTTCTTCTTCTTGAATTAAGAAGCTCTGAAGTTATCAACATTGAACGTTGTCTAAAAGTTTATTTGAAAAGGTTCAAAATGTGCAGGTTGTTCATCTTTCATGGCAGGCATAGGGATCTGCATCAAAGCATCATACCTCCAGACACTGCCTGATAAGGTCACATTTTTAAGGTTTTGGACAGCCAGTCCACATTGCTCAGATATAGTACTATGTGACACACATTAGTTCAAACCATTTAATAGAGTCCCAGTCCTAATGATTTGCTGTGATACTGCTCTACTGACAAGAAATGTACATGGTAATTATCAGATCTAAACAATAGGCGGATTAATGCTTTTTTTTTAGTCCATACTACAGGCAGTGCTTGGTCAAGCTAGCAGGGTACCAACTACTCTCAACACAAGAGGTTCACCACATTCAGCTGCAGACTTCAATCACAGAAGAGCACAAAAGACCAAGCTGGCTATCACTTGTTGTTTTGTCTTAAATGGATCCTAACCTTTCACTCATGCACAAATGGTCATATGAGACAAGACACCCAATAGATGTCAACGTGTATTGCAAAAATAACACACGTTTGACTTCGACTGTGCCTCACGTTACTAATCGGCAAGATCTCAGCTATCAGGGAACGTTCTCAGAACGTTCTGGCAAGGTTCTCTCAGAAATTGATGAACAAACGTTCTTCTAGTAACATTAGTAGAATGTTTATTCAGTTATCTGGTATATAATAATGTTCTCAAAAGCGTTAGCACCAAAAACATCATTTATACATCAATCAAGAAACATTTTTATCTTAGACATTTTATTTGGATGTTTGTCTGCCCTTTTTTTAAAGGTTACAACTTGTTTTAGAACGATCAGAGAACATTAAAAAGTAACATTCCCATTATGTATATGAAAAAAAAAAATGAAATGGAATGTCCCTTTACTGTTTGTGCAACCAAGAAAAAACGCTTTTAAAAACTGGACGTGTTGAACGTTCAGGGAACATTCAGAAATAACGTTTTCACAACTTAATTTGAACGTTAGCAAAATGGTCGTTTTGTTTACTGGGATTTGCCTCTTGCAGTTGGGGGACAAGGTAAAAAAAAACAGAGCTGTCAAATGGGACACTTTCTGCTTCCCATTGTGTTTGATTTCTTTAGATGAAGAGTAAAGATGTAATATTTGTCAGATAAACAGATGTTTGAATTTGAGATGTATAGCAATTTGAAACAGTTTTCACTGAATAGGTTATACCCTGTAATACACAGAACAATTTTTCTGTAACATTTTTAACAAACATGCACTGCTTCAAGTCATACACCTATCAGTCTGTGCAGTGGAGCATGAAGATGAACACACTACCAGACTGTTTCTAACAGGTTTCTTAAGCTCTCTCCTCATCTGCCATTGGTCAGACAAACAGATAGCCACACCCCAAACTCTCACAATTGGTTAAGCTATTGTTGCTCTGTTGGCAGAATCAACTAAAGCGACTAATTTATGTGAATGGTTTCTTTCAAACTGTTCATTTCTTACTTAAAGAAAAGTTTCAGAAATTGATACAATGATTATTTCGCCATCATGTTGTTCCCTGGCTGGGATTCTGTTTTGTTTATTATTAATAATAAAGGTATTTATATGAGTCCCAGTTTGTTGTAGCTCAAAAAATAAAAAGCCTTTTAAAACCTACATAATTAGCATTTACATTAAAATAGTTGTTAACTCCAGAACTGCTTGGATTCAGGCTGATTCCAGAACGGTTTTGAGCAAAATAATTCACGAATTGGACATTGCTACAATCAAACGGAGAAATGGTTTACTTTTGGTTGTCTTCACCTATTCAAGTGGGATACAAGAAGATATTTTAGTTTACACATTTTAGCTTTTAACATAAGGCTATATATCAGACATGAACAAAACGGTAACACTTTACTTGAAGGGGTGTGCATAAGACTTACATGACACCTTCATAATCATGACATGACACATGTTATGAATATGAAGGAAGTTTTATGCATGTTTGTGACAACTGTCATTAAGTGTCATTCGCTCAATTATGACATTTTTAATGCAAATATGACATTGTTTGAGATGTCTTTGTTATGACACCTTGACATAAACCAATACATCATAACCTGTCAGTGTCTTTGTCATGACAACTTGACATTACTAAGACAACACAACCTGTCATAAACATGACTATAGCAGATTCATTATCAAACTTAAGAAACCACTTAGCTTTATTGGTTAACATTACATTAAACTGTCAGGTGGTTGGTTTTGACATTGGCTGTCATGAAGCCATTATAACTGTTTAATGACAAATTCAATTTGTACCACTGTAGTTGAGGTCACGAAAAATATTCATGACACAGTTATAATGGCCTTATTACAGCCAATGTCAAAACCAACCACATGACAGTTTAACTTAATTTAATGTCAAGTTGTCATGACAAAGACACTGACAGGTTATGATGTTATGGTTTATGTCAAGGTGTCATAACAAAGACATCTTAAACAATGTCATATTTGCATTCAAAATGTCATTATTGAGCGAAAGGCACTTAATGATAGTTGTCATAAACATGCATAAACCCTACTTCATATTCATGACATATGTCATGTCATGGTTATGAAGGTGTCATATCAGTCTTATGTACACCCCTTCAAGTAAAGTGTTACCAACAAAACTGTTCAGACACGGTTAAAAGTGATCAGTGAACTTACTGTAACTTAAAAAAAGTGAGGAAACCCGTTGTCTTAAAATTATTAAGTAATAACCTTCATGCATAATTGAAAAAAATAAGTTATGGAACTTGCCAATTCCACATTACTTTTTTATTTCAATTACGCATTAATTACGCATAAAGTTTATTTACTTCATAAAACTTTTATGGGTTTCCTCACTTTTTTAAGTTAAGTCAACTCACTTTTTACAGTGGAGTTGAACACGAAAATTGTACAAGAATGACCTTTAGGTTTAAAAACAAAAACACATGGGAAATACCAAATTCTGAATCAGCATAGTGGGTATTAGTGAAGCCATTTGTTGTTGCACTAATGACGTGCCAGTTGGGAGTTGCATGTTAAATGTTCATCTGCTTGGCAGGACAATATCCACTCGTTGGTCTGGGTCACGCATTAAAGAGCAGGAAAGCAATATAACTGAAATTATGTCGCTTGACTAGCATTTGTGGATATGTTTGACGGTATAAACAAAATCCCTTTGTCTCACCACAAAACATCATTAGCCGACATTTAATAATGTATTTGACCTAACTGACTCGATGATCCTATCACAGTAGTCATGGCAGATATGACTTTTCATTGGATTAGACTTTGTGTTAACCTCCTCAAGAGAAACATAAATGATGAGAACAAAGCTTAATCTGAGGGTGACCTAGAATGTAACTTGAATACTGATAAGTGTGAACTAGCCCACAACAGATTTATGACATGTCATGTGATATAGAAAGTATCTTGAGAAGGATTAGGTTGGTTGATTGTTGAATGAAGAAACCAATGTCTCATGAGTGAACGGGGAAAACAGACAAACAAACAACAACAACAACAACAAAAACTTCAGGCTATATGCAAAAACTCATTTCAGACCCTCATCTCAATCCTTACAGAAATACAATTATTTAATACTATTAAAAAAGCATAGCAAAACCAATCAGAGATTTGTATAGGCCTACCATTAAAACGTGGCATTACAGAGAGGTCAGTGTGTCCAGTAAGGGGAAATTGTTCCCAGATTGAGCAGACACTTATTAAACTTGAATAAAGCCAACCGGTACACAGAGTGATTTCCTGTTACCAACCAGACATTATTTTTTTGATTGGACTTTGGGTTGCGGAGGTAAAATAAATAAATAAACATCCCTCATTCCAGGAAATATTTGGTTAGATTGCGAAAATTAAATGAATGATAGGATTTTTTTTTTTTTTTTTTTTCACCCAGTTTCCCACTTGGAACTCTAAACTCATGACCTGTAGGCTACTGAGGGAAACTATGGACTCAAGAAAAAAAGTTTTCAAACAAAGAAGTTATACATTATAAGTCATGTATAAAATGTGATTATAGGCCTATGGCTATAGGATATACATTCATTTCAGCCATACTGTGCGAAGAAAGAAGCCAGAAGGACATATGGTTTCATTTCCCTGCTATTTATGCACAGCTTCACTACTTCCTGAACTTTAGCCAGCTCCTTTGTTTCCTGTCTGCCATTATTGGACAAACTGATTAATCCAGGTGTGCCTGATTATTGTTACTGAGGCCAGGCACACCTGGATTAATCAGTTTGTCCAATAATGGCAGACAGGAAACAAAGGAGCTGGCTAAAGTTCAGGAAGTAGTGCAGCTGTGCATAAAGCCAATTAGGTTTATAAATTGTTAAGAGTGAGAAAGCACACTACACCATCTAGTGTATAAAGATGGAACTACTGCAAATAACCTCACAAAATATTCTGTAATTACTGAATAAAAATAGATTGTGAAATGTCATATAATGCTCTGGTGATGTTGCGTTGATCTTTGATCTTTTTTTTTTTTCAGTGCTGCAAATGGCATTCACTATTTATTGTTAAATAAAAAAAGGCAAGTGGAACAGCCAAACTATGAGTTGGCACATAATCAACTAAATGTCAATGTTTTATTTGAATTTCTTCCTTATTTAAACTTAACACATTAACTTATTATATAAATAATATGGTTTCATGACTTGAAATCCAAAATTTAGCAATGAAATAAAATAAAGAACATAGCATGTCATTGAACATGGTTAACAATAATTATTGGTCTCTGTAAAGACAAATCAAGACAACGGTACTGCAAGAAACTACGCAGAACACAACTGATTCACAGTGAAATCCCTATAGGTTGGGTCATATCTTGGGGCAACCCTTGAGGTAACCGTTCTACCTGTGGGACAGCATGTGTGTTTTCAGATGATGGGGCAGCGTGAAGGTCTTCTGACACTGTGTGCACTGGAACGGCCTCTGGCCGGTGTGTGTAACACTGTGTCTCTTCAGTTTGGATGGTGCATTGAAGACTTTGAAGCATATGTCACACTGGTGGGATTTCTTTATTTTCTCTTCAGGGCATCTGTCTGCACATTTATGCTCATTTAATTTGGTTAACGTGGAGAAACACTGACTACAGCCTGGACAAATGGGTAAGTCACATGGAGGGTCGGTAAAGCGTTTACCTAGATCTTGAAAGTCCAAATGCCCTACAACCACTTCTTCTTTCTGTCGATACTCATGGGAATGGAGCACGTAAGAATCAGGGACATATTTAACATCGTCCAACTCCACAAAGGCACAATCTTCAAAATCATCCAAATGACTTGTCCCTTTTTCCTCAGTTCTTGATTCGGTAGCATAATGACAGAGGGGTGAGTCAGTTTTGGGTGGACAGTCACTCACCCTGCCGAAAGGCACAATGTCAGATGCCTTTTTCTCAACAAGCACTGAGATGTCCGTTTTATGCGTCAGATCCCAAATGGATTTGTTGTTGCACTGGAAAACAACCTCAGACTTAATCTGAACATCCTCTAGAAGGCTAGTACCGTTTGAGAAAAACACACCTGAATCCCTACAGTCACCATTCATTGTTTGAGAATGCATATTTTCTGTGACCACATTTTGATCTTTGTGTGCTGGAGCAAAGTCTTCACCTCCAACTTGTGAGGAGATTTGCACATCTTGAGCTTTAGATATTGTAGTATCACCAAAAGAAAGCATATGTTCTTGTTCCAAATGACCAGCAATTTTGTCCTGACCCTTTTTTTTGTGGATCCTCTGGTGGCCCTCCAAATAAGACAGCTCTCTAAATGATTTCGAGCACACGTGGCACTTAAACGGTCTGAAATCTGTGTGGCTCAACATATGTCTGGAGAGCTTAGAAGGATACGGAAAGTTCTTCTGACAGATGCAGCACTGATGCACATCTTTATGTTGGCGCTTAAGGTACGTTGGGCTGGAGGATGCGGTCTGCGCCTCAGCATTTGTCAACGTGTCAGAACTCTCAATCTCTACAGTACTTGACTTTGACTCGGTCAAGGGGACGGTTTGGTTAAGCTTACTTTTGCATTCAAGCATTTCATTCTTTTTGGTGTCCACAGATTCTAATATCTGAGGTAAAGACACAACATTACCGCCATCTGGTGTTGAAGCTCTAGGTGTTGAGGAGTTGGGGCCGTGCTTCTGCAGGACTCCATGCGACCTAGAAGGGTCGTTTCTTTTGTCCGCATGTATCTTGAGGTGCTTATTGAGATCACAGGCCTGCTTGAATGACTTTCTGCAGATCGTGCAAGTGTAAGGCTTGACGTCCAAATGAACGTACAGATGTCGAGTTAGTTTAGAGGGGAAACTGAATATCTTCAAGCATATTTTACACTGACATCCACTTCTCTTTTTGAGTGGAATTGGAGACATGGGATCAGAAGACGTGGATACTGGAGAGCTCCTTTTTTCGGCTGGTGTGACTACATCTGGTGATGAAGATCTCAACCGTGGTTTAAAACACCTACCTTGAATATCACTCAAGGCATCAACCCTGGTAGTTACGACACCCCCTCCAGCATTCTGCTGGACTGTTTTCTTTCTTACCTGCTTATCACTCAAAACAGAGTTGCTTTCCAGTCTAAATTCTTCCATACACTTGTGACCTTTCAAGTGGTGTCTTTGTTGGAAATCTTTAAAGCACACAGAGCATTTGAAATGCCTTTGCTTTGTATGAATCGGAATGTGACGCCTGAGCTTTGATGGGGCATTAAAGCATTTTAAACATACAGGGCACCAATGTCCCTTTCTACTTTCGGAAACATGTTTGCGAATCTCAACACCTGTGGTACCTGAATTTGTTTCGATTAAGTCTACTGTGGCTGACTTTTGTTTCTCTGTTGAACTGGTATTGCTTTGGGCAGTTAGATGTTTTGGAGAGTAAGATCTAACTGTTTCACCAAGGCCATTACACACTGAGTGATTTAACCTTGAATTAGATGCTTGATTCCAGGACACACCATTGTTTCTCTGGCTCTGGAGTGATGGCGTCCTCCGCTTCACAGAGTTAGTGTGAGTTCTGATGTGTGCTTTGAGATGAGAGAGATCCCTGAAGCCATGGCAACATATGGAGCACTGAAAATGCCTCTGATCCGTGTGAATAAGGAAATGCCTTTTTAGTTTGGATGGAGCACCAAATTGTTTATGACACACGGGACAAACTCTTTTCTTCCCATTGCAATTCTCAGTGACACTTCGCAACACCTTTGCATTTATATCATTGTCCTCACTTTGTGTTGTGACACTGGGTTCTTTTTTCTCCTCAGATTCTTGGTTTTCCTCCATCCATTGACCCTCTGAAGTTTTGGAAGAATACGCAAAACTCAATGCAGTGTGAAGATCGATTCCTCACTCATTTAGAAGGGAAGCTTGCATCGGAGTTGGCATCTGGCTTGGAAAGTTAGGCATTGCCTTCACGCACTGCAAAGACAGACCAATGTTATGCACCGTTTCTTAAGAACATATAATTCTTCAAATACATTTGTTTTCAAAGGTACAAAGCCATTTGTATGTTTTTGTCAGCCTTGTATTTATCAATTTTGATGTCCAGGGCGGGGACATCTAGTTCTCAAGGAAAGCCTTTGCATCACATGTAGATTTTGTTTTTCTGGATTAGTGACAAGAAACATGGTGTGTATTTTTTTTCAAGGTTGCCTCAGAAATTACGTCTGTGAGTGCACTCTCTATAAAATCATTTTAAACATCGTTATATAGCCATTACATCATGGAAACTATTGGTCAGAAACTCTTAAAGTCTTATTCTTCAGTAATTATACTTGTATGAGATCAAAAGCTATACACTGATTAAATTAGTCATCAATACTGTAAATATAAATGTCTAAAACAATATATAAATGTATGTGCTGTCTCTCACACACTTACTCACTCTCACTCTCACTCTCACTCTCTCTCTCTCTCTCTCTCTCTCTCTCTCTCTCTCTCTCTCTCTCTCTCTCTCTCTCTCTCTCTCTCTCTCTCTCTCTCTCTCTCTCTCTCTCTCACTCACACACACACACACACACACACAAGTGGAAACGAATTATAAATTAACTTAAGCAACAATTAGCACACATTTCACCGTACCTGCAAGGGTATCGTGATGTTAAAACCGCTCATCTTGCCATCTGTCACGTTTCTGTTCGAAATCACAACAACAAGCTTCCGCTATAAATACAGACGTCAGGAAACAATCCATTTGCAATGGTTCCGTCCTCGCACTTGTTCCTATCGGCTCTTTTATTAATATAAATACATGCACACATTAATAACTAAATATGAAAATCAAATTCACTATTGTATCCCATATCATAATAATAAACTTTCACATTTGCAGTTTTACACCACACTTTGCTCGAGAAGGCATTGTCATTTAGCCTACTTAAGGTAGTGTTTTCCAGCACTGCTCTCAAATGTGAGTTTCGGCCTATTTTATTTTAAATAAAATGTGTTGTTTACAACCTTGATATTATAGACAACTGATTCTTACAAACAGAGCTTCAGCACTAGATGGCAGTGTTAAGCTGTATGGCAGGATGAAGGCGCAGACGTGTGCACTAAGCATGTGGTCAGTTCAGCTGCTGTAACCCTGCATAAGGTGGGTTTTAGTTAAATAAATACAGTTGTATCCATCTCAAACGGAATTGCCTACAATTTAAAGCAATATTTTTTTTTAAAGTAAAATATAATTATTTGTGTGCACAACAATTCATTGTGTAATTGGTTTGCCCTAAATGCAAATCCTTTATTCTAAAGGCATGTATTTTTTTTAAAGCTCAGAATTTTATAAAGAAATATTGCTTTAAAAAAATATATAATGTTTTTAAACCACCCCCAAAATAACAGGGAGTAGGCCTACATATTTCAAAGAAGTGCACGCGCAAGAGGAGCACAGTTTGTGCAACCACCCCATCACCGCGCGCTTGTCCATGCAATTAGCCCTTATCTGTAAGCAGTTTAATTTTCTGCGACATGGCGCGAGCGGCTCGGGCCTGATGGATGTGACATTAACGGGAGATGAAGCTGGGGAGATTGGACGCTGCAGTCACATAGTGGCATTTGTCACTGCCCCGGTCATGCAGATTGCGCCAGCACCGGTCACTGACTAAGATTAATGACGACGGCTCTCAGTCTTTGTTTCTCTCTGTGCTTGTGCTCGAGCCTAAATACCATTCAAACAAACCCGGACTTATGAGAAGACCTTATACATACAGACAGACTGTACGAGAACCATTGAAACCTGCGTCATTAGGCCTATCTCCAGGTAATTACACTAAAATACAGTGTAGGCCTATTTCATTTATCAATGCAAATTCCAGCCATGTCATTAGTGGTGCTCTCTAAGGAAACCAACACCATATTTACGTTTGGGGATTTTTCAAAATGCGTGTTACTTTTAAGATGGACCCTATTCACAGGCAGCGATGACACATTTCCGCAAAAAATGTATCTAGGCCTATTGTGATTTCTTTCTTTTTTTAATTGAATGTACATTTGTAAAACTATTTTTGTGTTACAATCATTCTGCCATTATATTACAGAAAACTAGCCAGCACTGCAATTCTACTGCAGCTTCTAGACATCTATTCACTTCTATTTTTTCCTCTTTTGGAAAGTGGTAAAAACGCACGGAAATTAACCATGGTTTTTATTTTAGTAAAAGTGTAGTAACCATGTTTTTTGTCGGATTGATTACCATTTGTATAACCACAGTTTTAATACAAATACCAATGGTTAAACTATAGTGTGTATAGCCGCAAAACATGGTTAATTTGTGGTTCCCATGGTTTAACTACAATAACCATGCTTTTTTAATTTGTAGTAAAACCATGGTTAATTTTCGTAATAGGGTATTTTTTCCGTTGTTGGAGCAAATGGGAATATAAAAAATAGTTTTGCCATGTACCTCTATAGAAATAGGCTATACACTGTAAAACTGGCTTCACTTAAAAAAGTAAGTTATAGGCTACCTTGTTACCTTAATTTTTTTAGTTCATTGAAATAAAAAAATTTGAGTTAAAACAACAAAGGAGATTTTATGGAAATATAAACTCAAAATATTGTGTTATGTGAACCACATTGATTATCTAAGTTGATTTGACTAAAGCTAAAAAGTTGTGATTAAATCAGGAAAATAAACCAAAATGTGAAAATGGTCCATAATAAAATGAGTAAAATAATCCAAGGGATCCAAGATAAGGACCTGAATATCATAAATACTTTGAAAAGGCTCAGTAACCAAACTAGAAACCACCAAGAACACCCTTAACCACACAGAGACGCACTGACAGCCATTTCAAGCACCACAACATTGTGGTGGTGAGTTCTGCAGATTTACTTCAAAAAATAGTTTTCACATAGGTATCATTATTATTCATTTGCATAGCTTTTCCGCATTGTTTTTCTCTCTATCCTGAACACGCATACACTCAGAGCATAGTAGCACCTGCAGACCTATATCATTTTCGAAGTGGCAAAAGCAAACTGATAAATAGGGACCGAGGGATGTCTACCGATTAAACAAAAATGCAATTCTTGGAATCTCTTACAAAAACGCTGCGTCGAATCATGAAAGGAATTCCTAAGAAGTGTACAAGACCTCCACGTATCCCCTCGGTTGTAATAAGGGAGAGAGCGGTAACCCCAAACTGGCTGCTCGGCTGCACAGAAAATGGTTTTCCTTGACAAATGAGGTGATGCGGACCAGGCTCAGATGGATGGGGGTTTGGGCTGGTTGTATCAGGGCTCTTGGGATGCTGGGTATTTACTCAGTCATTCATCATCCTCTGGCACATCCACTTATACAGGATCTGCACCGCACACCCATACTGATGTAATTCTCCACATGGAGAGCTGAATTACCATAGCCTGTCCTCAGTATGTGTGTGTAAGGATGTGTTATTGTGAAGCGTGCCGTGGAACAATTTTCTGGATGTGCGCTTTTATGTATCTGTGAACATCAAACGGTAGCAACACACTCTCTAATGGCAATTATTTAATGTTTTGGTAAAATGGGGGGTGATTTGTATGAATTCGTATGATCTCGGAGTCGTTTAGATATGGCCGATAACGAAAACCGATAATTCTTTATATTTGTAAGCCGATAACCGATATATTGCCAAATAAATCTAAATCCAAGTTTTATATAAGGTTTGAGAGCCTGATTACAAAAACAAAAGTCTTACCATTAAAATCCATGTCCCAAGCACACAATTACAATGATGTTCTCATAATTTTATGTAGCCTATATGACAGACTTGCACATGTTTCACTTTTATTTTCCTTTTTTGAAGTGATTCCAATCATACTTCAAGCAATTCAAAACCATCATGGTGAACGGTGCATATCTAAAGTGTCTCAGCAGAAGCAAATAATCCATTATTTATCGGCTTTAATATATCTGCCATTTTTTTTTTATTGGGCGGATAACGATAACATTAAACATGAACATATGCATCCCTAATCTCGTTCATACGTTTTTGTATGATCTGCTTACGATCAACTGATGTTTAGGTTTATGGGTGGAGCTTCACGCTTACTTTTTTTTAATAATCGTACGGTTCCGTACAAATCACAACAAACAAGCAATCGCCACCTCATAAACCCAGCTAATGAAACGTTCCCACAACTTTCACTAATGTTTTGTAAAGGTTAAGATAAAACGTTCATTAAATAACATTAATTGAACATACTTGTAACATTATTAAAATTCGATTCGATGTTGACAGATACGTTCTTGGTCTTTATGATGTTGTTTTTACTTGAGAGAACACAATTTTTGGAACAAACATGACGTTATTTGTAATTGATGAATGTTAATGTTCAAAGAATGTTAAATTGGGAGTAAAAATAAAGAAGTTGTACTAACATGATTAATATAATGTTCTAATCACGACAAGAAAATTGGACATTTCAATGTTTTAGAAACTGCAAATCCTAGTTCCCACACCATTTTTAGAGCATACATTTGTAAGCTAATACGTTTTTTTCCAACCCGATCTCACGGCAATTCGTACGAATTTTACGAGGTGGCTAATTCGTAACAATTCGTACGAATTAGTAAGATTTTTGCTAAATCGTACATATTTTACGAGTTGCCCAATTCGTATGAATTTGTACGAATGACCTACCCCTGACCCCGCCCCTAAACCTACCCATCACGTGGGTTTAGACAAATCGAACAAATTCGTACGAGTGAGGTCATACGAATTCGTACGAATTAGCCACCTTTTAATCACTCGTACAAATTCGTACGAATTGGTCGTGAGATAGCGTTGTTTTTTTCACGAGATCAGGTTGTTCCATGTGTATCAAAAAAAAATATATACATACTGCGCCATTGACTGTAAGA